CGTGTATTAGAGTTCACCAAACCGATCGTTCGACCAAACGTTCAACCAATATTTTCATGACATGTTACCAAAAATATGATTGATTAACATTTCTTGCTACCGAACTATTAACATGTCTCATGATTATGATCTCTCGTTTTTTTGACATGTCAACATTTCATTTAAATGAGAGATCATTTTGAATCGATCGTTCAGTTTTCGATTGATCGAAATGTTGTATTGAAAATATTGGTCGAAATAATGATTGATCGAAATATTGTTTTGAAAATATTGGTCGAAATAATGATTGATCGAAATGTTGTATTGAAAATTTTGTCAAAAAAATGATTGATCGAAATTTTTTATTGGAAATTTGGTCGAAAAAAATGATTGATCGAAATGAATTTTTTTGTTAAAAAAAGTATGTTCAAAACTACTGTTTAAAAAAACCGCTTCTCTTTCAAATGTTCATCATAATTTCTTTTTTTGATTTTTTTCGTAAGGAAATATCATCATCTTTTTCTGTTTCTCTGTGTTCACTGGTCCTAAAAAGCAAAAAAATTTCTACAATGCCATATAGACTATAACAAATAAGTTCAAGAAAAAAATGCAAAAACTTTAATTTGTCGGAAAAAAATGAAATATTTTCACCTGTTTACTAGTACTCCGAAAACCTGCCCCGTGTGAGCGATCTGTTTTGAAAATCGATCGCTCGGAATTTCGATCGATCGAAATTTTATGCTCAAAATATTGGTCAAAAAAATGATTGATCGAAATATTGTTTTGAAAATATTGGTCGAAAAAATGATTGATCGAAATGTTGTATTGAAAATATTGGTCGAAAAAATGATTGATCGAAATGTTGTATTGAATATATTGGTCGAAATATCGATATATCAAAAACGTTAAAAATCCAATGACTGATCATTAATGTAAGAGATCAAAAAAACTGATCTAATAAACGATCTCTCAAAAAAATGACATGTTAAAAATTTGGTTGAACAGTGACATGTCAATAGTTTGATCAATTGAAATGGTTGAATGATCGGTTTGGTGAACTCTAGCGTGTATTATAGTTTCGAAAATTGACCGTTCGACCGACCGTTCAACCAATATTTTTTCAACATTTCATAATAAATGGTCATTGGTCGAACGGTTAGGGTTTCAACATTTCAACATGTCACTTCAGAATGACATGTTGGTTTTTGACCGTTCGAAATGTCACTCTGAAATTGGTCGGTCATTTTTCGAACGTTCGAAATGTCACTTCGAAAATGGTCGGTCATTTTTCGAACGTTCGAAATGTCACTTCGAAAATGGTCGGTCAGTTTTTGACCGTTCGAAATGTTACTTCGAAAATGGTCGGTCATTTTTTGAACATTCGAAATGTCACTTCGAAAATGGTCGGTCAGTTTTTGACCGTTCGAAATGTCACTCTCAAAATGGTCGGTCATTTTTTGACCGTTCAAAATGTTACTCTTGAATTGGTTGGTCATTTTTTGACCGTTCGAAATGCCTATTCGAAAATTTTCTGTTACGCTGGAAGTGAGGGCTCGGGCGCGAGACACATTCCTTCTTACTGCGTTCCAGTCTTTCACGTGCAAACTTTGAGCCGTCATAATTTGACTACGAGGCAAAAGGCGAGATATTTTATTTTTGATTTGGAATCAGCATGCCTTAAAGTACACCCCTGCGAAGTTTCATCAAAAAGTTCAACCGGGGGATAAAAAAACAGTTTCCTTGTCAGAGTAACTAGGAGCTTATTCATTATCACGAAGCACGCGGAGTTTTCTCAAAAATTCCATACTTTTTCGCAAACGTTGATTCAATTTATTTCATTTCAGACATTTCAAACTTTTTTTCAGTCAAATTTCGATCGTTTGAAACGCCATTTCAAAAATTTGTCGTTCATTTTTTTGACCGTTCAAAATGTCACTCTGAAAATGGTCGGTCATTTTTCGAACGTTCGAAATGTCACTTCAAAAATGGTCGGTCATTTTTTGACCGTTCGAAATGTCACTCTGAAAATGGTCGGTCATTTTTTGACCGTTCGAAATGTCACTCTGAAAATGGTCGGTCGGTTTCGTAAATTTCAGAAATTGGTCGGTCAAACGAACGATCAGAAAAATGACATGTTATAACCGTTCGAAAAACTGAACGGTCATATCAGTTGAACGGTCTAATTGGTCGAACGGTCGAATTTTAGAACATTAGCGTGTATCGTATACGATACGGAAATTGGACTACTGTGACGAGGATAAATGGACCGTTCAAGTGGTCTAGTGCTGGTCAGTAGCACCCGTTGGGCTAACAGGTTTGCGAAACGATGCTAATGTCGATCACCCGGTGTTTTTCAACGTAACGAGTGATCGCCTCGACCTCAACCGGAGCTCGGCGTGTGAATTGGGCGTTTGCCTAGTTCCGCTGGACGTAAAAGTGGCCTAATCGCGGCTAAAAATTGCGTTTCTGGTGCTCGGCTGAGGTTAAACGGGTGATTGGCGATAGCTCCCTCGGGTGCTACTCGCCAGCACGCGAGTGGTAAAGATTTGATTTTAAGTGCATCGTAACCGAAAAAATTTTTTTGACCGCAAACACTTTCTGCTACAATCCTATTGGAAATAGCGATCTTAAGAATTTCTATCATTTTCCCAACTCAACGAGTATTTTGTCTCCCAAAAACATAAGCTTATCATAAGCAAAAACAATAAAGCTTAAGAAAGAATGGGTTCTCCGTTCAAAATATGTTTAACTAGGGAACTACTCGGACTCGGGTACGCGTTTCGAGTTGAAACTTTGGTGGCTTATAGACCCTGGTAAGAGTACTTGGAAACAAGAGAGATTATCTGCTAAACCCCATAGGCTTCTGAGAAAAAGCTTTTTGAAAATGAACAGTTTAGGCTTGAAAATTATCAAATGTCAGTTTTCCTTCTTCTTTTGGCTGGAAAAAAGTTTTTTAGAGTTTCTCATAGCCGGATAATTCGAGGCGATTGTATTAAAATATGAAATAAGGTAAAAAGCAGTATTCTAAAAATTTTCAAGCCTAATTTTCACATCTCAGACCTTGAAAACGCGAACGGGACGCGAATCGGACGTGTCGGGGCATTTCTAGTGACCACTTTAGTAGCCTCAGAACTCTTAAGGGATCCCTAGAATCGCCCAGAAACGTCCGGAGCACGTCCGTTTTGCGTTACCAATGTCCGAGATTTTCTACTAATTTTTTCTCAGTTCTCTATTGGGCATATATTCTCATTTGTTTTCAAGTCTTCTGACTCAGGTCTATAAACCACTGAAGTTTCAACTCGATCCGTTTCCCTACTCAGTTCGTGAACAGGGTGTTTAGCAGCTTTGGGTTTGAGTAATATAATTGATTACTCAAAAACTGAACTTCAAATCGAGTCGGGGTCATCGTCTTTGCATTCAGGCGGCAGCAACGAAACGCATCAGCTGATGGCCATCACCCAGGCCGGCGTTTGGGAAGTCGGAGCGCACAGGATTCTCTACGACGTGCCCAACTCGGTCGAGGCCATGACCATCTGCAAGTTCAAGCCGACGCCCAGTATGAAAAGTAAATTTCTCGTGTCTTTTTGCAAGCGAATTTAGCTTTAAACGTCTTTCAAAATTTTTGTGTCCATGTATCATAAATTACAAGTCTAGTCAGAGCCGGTTGGTGAACCGAAACTTGGCTATTTGAATTCTTCCACTAAATTTTTGATTCCTTTTTATCTCTCGAATGACGTGTTCTTCCCCTGTTTCTCTGACATCGCCGATGAGGGAACAGAGAGACGCAGACACGCTAAAACTGTCAAGTCGTGGCGGACGGACTATACGAGTGGAAATGTTACGTTTTTTTTTTGGGACTTTGAAGTATCATTGAAAATCAAAGCTTTCTGAGGTTGGTCTTAGGATCCTCAGGGCCTCCCGGCCATTCCGAAAAGTATCGGGAGCACCATGGCTTTTCATAGTTTCTTAAGTTTCATATTTGAGCTTGACTCATAGATTTGGCATCGTTCCATCATTCTGGCCTTGTTTTGGGCCTTCGACAAGCTGGAAAGTAGTTTCATTCAAAGTGTATCCTATTCCGCGGAAACCCCTTGTTTTTTTTTTATTCCGTATTCTTCAAGACAAAAGTGGAGGATCGCGGAGTGAGCCAAGCCTTGGCATTTAGCCATCGGATAAAAATGAGCCATATAGTCTGTTCAGATTTCAAATGTCAAGTTCTCGCTGAAGCTCCGCCCCTAAAAGCGCGATGAACCAATCAGAGAGCGAGCCATCCACAGAGCCTTTTTTCGAATGACGTCATTCTACTTGACATTCAAAAACTGAACAGACAATAAAGCCACGTGCAATCTTACAACTAGGTCAAATAAGTGGCGATTGCGCTCATTTCCAATAACTGTATATTTTCCCATTTTCTATTTCGTGGGGTTGCACAGAACTTCGCAGTTTTTCTCCTCCCGTTTTGCGTGTGGAAAGTTCCGATTCCGCGCAACCCCGGCCTGCGGAACTCTCCCTGGATTTTTTCGAGGAACTATTATCAGAAGACTATCAGCAGAATCTCCCTTCTCGCCAAGAGCTCACCAAAGTTTCAATTCGTTCAGAGAGTTTAGAAACCAATTGAAAGATCATAAACGCGAACACCATTATAATTTCAATTTTTTTATTGGGTATAATAATTAATAAGTAAGAAATACATGAACATTGTGGGTCTTATTTCCGGGCTTGCTATGCAGCGACATCGACAGGCGGTGACTGAGCCGCTGAACTTGGCTCGAGTCTCTCAAAGACTTCCTGTAAAAGATGTTGGCTCGAAAAATATGATTTTTTTTGGCTTTTTTTAATCAAAAAGAATTTTCATTTCTCCTACCCTATTTTCATACTAAGCTGAGAAGTATGAAGTTTTCCACGACTAAAACAGCATGATCGCATTGGAAATGGCTCCTTGATTTCTCATCGCCCAAGCCGATTCTGGTCGGACGTTCGTTCAAAGGACTCGGTGTGCATGGAGCCATTCCCAGTGTGACCTCTGGGCTTCAATAGACAAGACAAAGATTCACTTCAGTTCCAGTGCTCGGCTGCATCGCTTCCTTGTTTTCAGCTCCAATCTCAAATGCTGCGTTGTCACCCGGATTCGTCTGTAAAAGAAATCATTTTTATGAAAACTTTAAAAGCCAAACCTCCTTCAAAATGCTGATGACCTCTGTCATGAACTCGACTATCTAAAGCTTCTTTTTTCAAACTTTTTGGATTTGTTCAAGTATCGAGAAAAAATAGCGGCGATAGTTATCAAGTTGTGAGTTATAAAACGCATGACCTTTTTCGAAAATCAAAGATGAAATTTGAGGCTATTTTGCGTCGAATAATGCGCTCTCAAAAAAAGTTTATACCTGGGGCATGGTCGGCCTGTAAATTGCGTGATAGGCGAAGATCCTGTTTTCCACGAAAAAGCGAAGAGCTTCGGGTGCTCTTCCGTGAACGTTGACCACTTTCCCCGCGAGTATCTGCAAAAAACGTACTATTTTTGTAAAAAGAAAAAAGTAACCTGTTTTCGGGCCTCCGGTCCTGACATGCCGGCATACGGCATTTGACATTTGTTGAACACTTCGCAGACGAGATGCTGTAAAGTTTCCAATTTAGTCAGATATGAGAAAAAAGAAAACCCCGTAGGCGTAGACGTCCGATTCGGCCTTAAAAGAGTAGCTCGTCAGGCTTTCAGGTGGCAAATAGCGGGTAGGCAAGTTTTCCGCGGTAGTCATCTCATAGTAGTAAGCCTTAACCGAAAGTCCAAAATCCGCCACCTTTGCCTGAAAAATTTGGTGAATTCTCTGCAGGTTCCATGAAAATACCGTTCCGTGTTCGACTATAAGACAGTTTCGTGCGGCTACATCTCTGTGTAGGACCCCAAAGTCGTGCAAATACTCGAGTCCCCTCGCGGCATCGAGGCAGAACCTCGTCAAGGTCAGGTTCGAGGCTTTCTCAGACTTGGCTATGAGAAAAGTGCTTAGAGCTCCACCTTCAAAAAACGATATCAATTCAAAAATTGACGGTAAGCTCAAAAGAACAAGACTTCCGCCAAAGCTTTAGGCGGAAAGAAACCGTAATTCATATTTTCGAAGATTAGGCGGATATGTGTCAAAAAGTCTAATTGACATCAGCGATCGCAAAATTAACGTGTTTTTCGTTTAAAGTTATATTCCGGAATTTTTTCAAGTTATTTTCAAAGTTATCTGATCTCATAGAGAAATTTCATAGAGATTGGAAGAAATGCTTTTTGGAAGCCTCACCCGGACATAGTTCCATTAGTAGCTGCAGAGGTTTAGAATCGTAACACCACCCTAATGTGCGGACAACATTAGGGTGGTCCAGCGGGATGGAGATTGTTCCTTCAACAAGGAACTTTTCTTCAAGTCCGAGGGGCTCCGGTACGCCTTTCTTTATCTTAAAAACCCAGAAATTGCGTCTTTATTTTGTCCACAGAGCAATTTTATCGCACACTGCATTTTTGACAGAACTCGGACCTCGGTAGCATAAAAAACGCATCTGAGAATTTAGTGATCACTTGAGCGCTGACGCCGCTGATGTGATCGCTAGAAGTTCATTACAAAAGTCCGAAAAGTTCTTCAAATTTAATTAATTTTCAACAAAGTCAAAACTTCAATACCATACAACAGACAAGAATATGCTCTACGCAAGTTTATCCCTATTTTTATTCCAATCCATCAAAATGTCTTGATATCTTAAGAAATCCCAATTCAGACTTGTTGCAACTCTTGATCAACACAATAAATTTCGAAATTCAGCTCTAGACGTCTTTTTCGAACTTTCCCTGAATAAATTCGCTTTCTTAAGGCCTACCGTTTTCACGACCGCCTTGTCCTGTTCGAAAGCCGGGTGGTTGATCTCCGCAAGCGAAACTTCTCCGAACGCGCCGTTCCCGAGCTGCAAATATCAAGAACTATGACCCCAATTCGACAAAAAACATATTTTAGCTCAAAAGTTGTTTTTGAAAAAGAAGGAGCAAATCGAAAACATTTGGTTATTTTTAAACCGGAAAATTTTTTTTGGTTCATTCAAAAATTCCTCACCGTCTTAACAATCTTGATCTGTGAGGAGCGGAAGGATCCGTACTGGCGACTTATTGGGTTCCGAAGATTAAAATCTTGTTGTCCCTGAAAACGATCGAGTTTTGGAGAGGAGAGCCGCGAAAATTCGAATATTTACGCCCTACGCCTACTTTTCATAATTCTTGAAGATTTGAATTTGAAAGCTTTTATGAGTTGTTATTTGGACGGCTGTTTTTTTTCCGTCAATCTAAAAAATTGCGCTCTGCGGCTGGTTTCATCGATTTCAGTGATGAAAATGGAACGATGAAATCTCGAAAAAATCGAAATTTCAGTCGCGATGCTCAAAAGATCCCGGGGGCTGTTCTCAATTCTCTCTAACTTTGTGTTGTATGGCCCCATTTAGGCGCTTGGTGTTAACAACTGCGAGAGTATTTCAAAGCATTTTTGCAAACGAAAAATGACAAGTTTTCATAATAATAATAATTTATTGACAGATCAGCGTGAACCCTAACGAGTTCACTTGGATCTAGAATTTGAGAGAATAAATTATACAGTTATACATTATTTGAGTCGTGAAGGAATAGACAAGAAGATCTCGTGCAATGGTAGATTGACCAGTAAATTTTTTAAAGACTTGGGGTGGTGGCTGAATTGAAATTTGGAAGTGAGTTTGTTCCAAGTAGGAATTGTTTTAAAGAAAAAAATCATTAGAAAAACTGACCTTGAGAACGCAGTCGAAGTGGATTTCGCCTTAAATTGGACCTGAGGGCAAAAAAAGTTCGAACTGGGGAAAAATGATCGATACCGAAGACAATTTTATGAAGGGTCAGAATGTCAGATATAGCTCGTCTGAGGTAAAGTGGAGAGATATCAAATTGTTCAAGGCGATCAGAGTAAGATTCAAAGGATAAGTTGGACCTAATAAAAAAATTTTTACGAGAAAAAAATTCTGAGAGGAGATTCCAGTTTGTAGCAGAGATCAGAGTTAAGGGGAGGGTTAAAAAAACTTCGGAGCAGTATTCTAGAATAGGCCTTACATAGGTGTTAAAAAAATTTGAACAATAGATCAGGTGATTTGGAACGAAAAACAGTTGAGTATCTGATTGGAACGAAGGGTTGCTAAAGAAACGATATTGTTAATGTGAGGAGCGAGAGTTAGTTTATCATCGATAAGAACACCTAGATCACGGATAATGGTTTTTCTGGGAATAGACAGACCATTGATTAAATAAGTTGTTTTGGGATTGAGGGGACCAAGGTTGATAGCAAAAGTTTTGTGCGCAGCAAGAGGCAAGCCCCAAATGGAAGACCATTCAAATATGGAATTAATACTACGTTGGAGAGATTCAGGGTTAGAACTGTAAATTTTTATATCATCAGCGAACAGAGAGATTGAGGTTTCATGGTCAATGTAGTTAACAATATCATTGATGAAAATTAGAAAAAAGCAAAGGACCAGATACAGTTCCTTGAAGGACACCGGAAGTATTGAGATAAGTAAGAGAAGAACGAGATCCATCGATCAGAACATTAGAAACACGCTCAGATAAGAAGTTTTTGTACCATCGAACAACGTTGTCGTCAAGACCAAAGTTCTTGAGCTTATGAACAAGCAGAGAATGATTAACCTTATCAAAAAGCCTTGGCAAAAGTCAAAAATAAACAACATCGACAAATTTTTTTTCGAGGCGATAGATTTTTTTGCCAAGAGGAGAGGCAAGATAGAAGGTTAAGCTTGCAAGACCGTTTGTTTAAAAAAACCAAACTGAGATTCAGAAAAACAATGAGGAGAATCTCCGGCGAATCATATCACAAATAATCCTTTCAAAGACCCGGGACAAAGGATGTGTCAAGGATATAGGGCGGTAGTTTGACGGATCTGAATTTTTTTCCACGTTTGAAAAATAGGAATTACCGTGGTAGATTTCCAGGAGGGTGGAATGAAACCGGAATAAAAATGATTCGTTAAACAGAATAGACAGAGGAATAGAAATAGATGTAGAGCACCTTTTTAAAAACAAGTTGATTGATTAAGTCAGGCGAAAAAAACCGCATTTGGGAGGTAAAAGCTATCAGAGTTTTATAAACAAGTTCAGGAGTGAACGAAATAGAGCAGTTAGTGGCTTTCGGGGAAGGGAAAAATGGGCATCAAATCGTAAACTTCATCAGAAAAAAATTTGTGCTAAAAAAATTTGAGCAAAAAAACATCTGCTTTTGAGGAGCTTTCAGAAATAAGGGAATTGTTGTAAGTAATGTTGGGGATGGAAGAACAACATTTGAGTTTTTTTGGAGATATATTTGGAAAGTTGAACATGGTTGAAATTGTTAGCAATGTAAGTTTCCTGTGCCAGGGAGATGGAGGAGGCACAAGCTTTGATTTTTTTTATACAGTAGATTGAATTGGAGGCGGGTAGAATTATTGAAAAGATTAGCACGAATGAGACTGGCTCTTTTAATATTTAGCCGGCGAATACGATTGTCATGGTTGAATGGGCGACGACTGAGGGGGGGAGTTAGAAGACTAGAACAGGAATCACGAACAATTTCATTAAAAATTTTTAAAAAATGAGAAAATTTACTCTCAACAGAGGAAAAATAGCTGAACTGATAAGTTGACATTAACAGGGTTAGAAATAAAAGAAATATTGTTCACAGGAGTAAAATTAGTATTAACAGAAATGTTCGTGTTGCGAGGTACAGGCAAAGGGATACATTTGGACCTTTCAACAATGGTGAGGTCTCTGAGATAAAACCGCAATTTGCCTTCGTCTTGATTGAGAACAAAGACACGATGACGAAGGCGGCGAAGGAGGACAAGTTCATGAGGAATCATATCACGACGAACGCGACAATATGGTACAATGGTGTTTTGAAAAAGCGCAGAAACGGCTCTTTTGAAACCAAAAATAAACATATTGCGAGAATGAACAGAGGAAAATTGGATTTTAACCGGTCTAAAACGAGAATTACATGGATGTCGATGGATACTAAGCGGGGCAGGAATGTTCAGATGAGAACAAACCTTATTAACTAGGATAGAATCATCAATTTCTTGTTGGGGCGTTTTGGAATCAGCAAGTTTCTCAAGAACTGCACGGAACGACTTCTCCAAAAAGGTGGTGGAAGATGAAGCACGAGCGACAGCAGCCCACAGTTCACGGTCAGAGAGAGCAGCGAGACCACGTTGATCACCAGAGGCAGAGTTCACGACAGGAGGATGAGGAGTAGCAGAGGCTTGGGCGGCAGGAACATGAGCCAAAGGAAGCTGAGCCACAGGAGCATGACGAGTTGAATCGGTTTGAGGGCCGTCGAGTTTTGAAGCCAGATCATTCAATTGTATCATGATCAACTGGACTTGAGATTTGAGAGCAGCCACTTCTTGAAGAACAAGAGAATTAGGAGGTATGGAACTCCTAGGTGTAGAACCATAAGTTTAAAATGGCTAACCTCCACTTTCACAAACATATAAAACGCGAGCAGAGAGTTTAGATTTGAGAAATAGTATTCCCCATCCAAAGAACATCCGTTCTTGTTCTCTCTCAACTTCATATGCCGGTAGTTCACGGCAATCGTCTCGCGGAAGGGAGCAGGTCGGATCTCGGAAAACGAGTCCGAGCCTTTCCTCCTGTCTGAAAACTATCCGATTGACGTTGAAGCCGTATTTTTTTATTTTGAGACTTTTTTAACGTTTGAGGCCTCGAGACAATTTGAATGTGAACAGGAAGGCGTAAAGTTAGGGTTCATAGCGGCTACAATTTATTATTTATATCGTTGATCTTGAAATTCTAGTTGTTTCGGAATTTTCTCAACAGTCATTCTAACTGCGGCAAGTATTTTCGAGTCAATACGACTTTTGGCCGCATTTGGAATGGTTTTTTCCTTGACTTTCTCGTAACTCTTCGAAAACAATTGTGTCCAGTCCATAAGCGACTGTCCAAGATTATTTTCAAATGTAAGCCGCTTATGGAATTTTGTTTCAATCAACTTGTACGCAATTTGACACTGATCTCTTCTGAATGCCACCTTGCTTTCCAACGAATTAAAACCGCATCCGCAACTCGACAAAGTAATTGCCTTTGGTCTCTAAAACCGTAATGCCGTGTTCAATTTGATTTCGCGAAATGCAAAATGATCTCTGACTCTCCAAAATTTAGTGATCTTTTCCTTTCTCTAACGGGTATTTTGCATTTCGCGGAATCAAATTGAACACGGCGGAAATTTACATAAAAGGAAACAGTTTTTCCCGAAAATCTTTGAATTAATTCCAGGTTTCCTCACCATCCCCCGTCTCCCCTAGATCAGTTGCGACATCGCCGTCATCCTCTTTTTCGTACGGCACTTTCTTCGCCACCTGGCATCCTTTCCGCGTGTCTTCCTTCTCGTTGATCTGTCTCAGCTTGGTGGATTGCGCCGAAGTAAGTGCCACGCTTACTACAACGCGAACTTGGCCTTTGACTGAAAAGTTTTATTTTTCAAAACTTGATCCCAAAGGTTTCCGCCGGATTACCTTCGCGGAGGCGAACCAAAAGTCTCCTGAGCGAACAAGTAGGTTGACTGCTTCAAGAGACGGCATGAAGCTGAATGTGATCATTTCTACACGTTTTCCGGGGATTAGTTATCTAACCCGTGGCAAAATGGCAGCTTTCGTGCACGTTCAATCGTCGATATCACTTTGACTTGTTCGTGCTTCTCTTCTTTCCTGATGGGCACGAGAACCTCGTGAACGCTGACTAAAAACATTCAATCATGTTCAGAGACCGCAAAGCCCCGCCCCTTTTCGCCGTTGGCTTGGGATTTTGGTTCGCGATTCCCGTACGCAATATTCCATCATATCAGGAGAAAATTGGTGGAAATAAACAAAAAACCTTTTATTTTCATCCCGTGTATACATAGTTTGGATTCGTACCAGCGTAATTTAGCGTTGACATATTTTTATATTTACGAATATATTTCCGTTTCAATTCAAATAAAATTTCAACTCAAATGACATATTCAAAACTTGTTTTTGAACTATCTCTATTTCGAAAAGCGCGTTATCGTTTTTTTTTTTTTGGACAGATCAAATTTTGAAAGCCCTTCTTTGTAAACTTCAGTAATACACTTCTTAGTGTAAAAAATGATTCTCGAAGGCGTTCTCATATTTCAGGAAAATCGCGGAAAATTATTTTTCACTTTGTTGCAGTTGCCGCTTTTTTTTGTAAAAAAAGTTTACCATGTTCTTCCGGCTTGCTCTCAGTAACAGTAGGAAGAGGCGCGGCAGGTTTTTTCGCCGGCTTAGCTGTGAGCAATCTGACCTGCAAATATCGAGATGAGAGAAAAGAATACATTTCAGTATGAACAGGAACTAATTCTGGTGGTTTTTAATTCCAAAGATCACAGGAAATTCTGGAAACTTCTCTGGAATAGCCTCGAATCATTAGTGAATTAGCTGAGCCCCTCGTGAACTCTAATTCTCAGAAATACAAGTCTCATTAATTTTTTTCAACAATTTTTTTACAAATTAAGGTTTAAATGTTAAATTTTTTTGTTCAAATCCTCAGAAAATTATAGAAAAAAATTGGCTTTTATTCAAATTTTGATTAATCCAGTTTATGAGTCTAAGGTATAGTCTTTTCACAGTCTAGATTCAAAAAAAAGCAAGTCCAACATTATCAATGCTCTTTTCTGCAAATTTAGGTTTTTGAGTGCTCAAAAATCACATTTTTTTGAAATAATATATGAACTTGCTTAGGGAACACCGCACACTTTTCATAGTCTGTTCAGATTTTTAATGTCAAGTCGTCGCTCAAGTCCCGCCCATAATGGTGCGATAAACCAATCAGAGAGCGAGCCATCCACAGAGTGTTTTTGAATGACGTCATTGCACTTGACATTAAAAATCTGAACAGACTATAAAGGCCTTCACCGGAACTTAAAGGCCGTCACCGGTAAGACACAAAAATCCATCTTTTTGTGAAAATAAATTTCGAATGTCTTGAAAATTTTATTATTGCTGCTAACAGCAATGGTGAAGGTTGAAGGTTTTTTTATGGAAAATGACACTCAAACAGTTTCGAACGAAAAAAAGTGCATTTAAAAATAATTATGAGGAAATTAACTTCTTTAGAAAAAAACAAGTTTAAAAAAAGTGTTTCATAGCATTCTACTTTATAAAAGACATATCAAAACATCGGGATGTTGCTTTTAGTCAATGAACAGGAAAATTTTCGTAGAAATAAATCCGTAAAAAGCCGAAATCTTGCAATTTTAATTTTCCAATAAATTTGGGGTGCTATAACTTCGGAACAAGCGCGTTAATGCAGAGACAAAACCACTTTAAAAACACGTGTACTATATCTAGGGACCGCAGAGCCACGCCCACTTCGCTGTTCAAAAAAACTTCGTCATTTTTCGTTGCATTTTGGTTCTTTTTTTATATTTTTAAAAACAGTTTTCTTGTACCGATTTGGGAAAAAATTAGGGGAAACATACAATCGGCTATGCTTAACAATCCTACATGAAAGAGAATACTGAAAAAAATGAGAAATAAGAATGTACGACGACAGTTTTTTTAAAAACGCATTTGTGGCCGAAAAACAGATAAAAAAATCCCGTTTTTTTCTTGAAAGTTTCTGGGCAACTTTTTTTATTCTTGAATATCATAAAGCAACTAAAAAAACGCATATTCTGGCAAAAAAATAAAAAAATTCTATGGTTGGCCTCAAAAAAATAACGCAATTTGAAAAATCACGATTTTCGAAATTCCTTATTTTCGAAAAAAACGCAATCGATAATTACTGATTATATTTTTTTAAACGGTTGTTTGCAGTTGTTTGCAAATTTTAAAAAAATAGAAAAACTAAGTTTTTTTCATCGATTATATAGTTTATATGAAAGCTTAAAAATTTGGGTTTTTTTCGTAACGCTTTGAAAAACGGCCCAAAGCGTTCTGGGCAAGTTTTTTTATTTCATAATATCAAACATTAGACATTTCTCTACAACATATCAAACAATAAAAAAATTCCTAGGATGGCCCGAAAAAGTATGGTTAATTTAAACGCTCGAAAGTTATTTTTTTAAAACTGCGCGTCGCTGAAAAATCTGCAGACACCGCGAAGGCCACGAAATTTTTTTCGAAAGCGTCAAGAAGGTTTTTTTATTAACTATTTATGTATTCTATTCAAGTTTTCTCATTTTATTGTGGCTTTATAGTTGCTTTTTTTACTCATTTCATAATTGGAATCTTTTTTTCCTATATCATTATATCCATTATAGCAGCGAGAAAAAGTATTAAATTTCGCTTTTACTCAACTTTTTTTGAATTTTTTTCAGAATGTCAAGTAAAGAATTCTAAAAAAATTGTCTACGTACACTCCATGTAGACGCACAAACTTTAGAGAAAAAAATAAAAAGAAGTAGAAAATCAAAAGTAAAAAAACGCTTTTCGCCCTTTTTTTTAAAAAAACTCTCTGAAAAAAAGGACTTGGTGATTATTTACATATTTTTTTCAGTAAATTTCTTAGTAGACTGTTACATTTTCAATTCGGTTTAATGCTGTTCGTCCTTCGCAGAGGTCTATTTTGTCGGTTATTTTCTTTTTTTACGAAATGCATTGAAACCTTCTTCAAAACTCGCTTTTCAGCAGCGTGAGTGCTTGAAGAGTAGGCTGATATTGAGAAAAAAAGCAATATTCAATATGAAAAACTCTAATATTTCATTTAAAAACTTCTAAAAAAACTCAAATAAATATGTTTTTCGAAACGTCTCCTGCGTGAATTAACGCACAGCAAGGAGCGCGCGGCATCTATAAACACGCCCCTTTTCCTGCGACCCTGACGAAAGTTTCTACACAAAAAGTGGTTCCCCCGATTTCGCCACTTTTTTTGCTTATAACTTTTTCATTTTTTTCATATTTTTTTCTTTTCTGTTTTCGCAGTTAGCTCTCGATTGCCATCAGCTTTCTTTTCATATAGGTTTCATGTTTATATCACTGACTTTGGAAATTGGCCTGCGGTCCCTAACTATATCTAAAAAGGGGCAAAATTGACCAAATTAGTGAGGAATTCTGAGTTTCGCGGGAAAATGCAGCAAGCGCGCTCCAAACCTAGCTTCAAAAATTTTACTCTCTGCTCCACTGCGTGGAAACTCCGTGACGTGGCGCCAGGTATTCACTCGAGGAGCGAGAAGCCTCCAGCAGGCTCCGCCGGGATCCAAACTCACCAGAAACATGTCGATGATGCTTGCGTCGATTGTCGAAATTTGGTTTTAAATGGCTAGATCAGCTGATAATTTCGTTTATATACTCTCGTTCTCATCCACGTGGCATTTTCACGTCAGACGTCTACTTTTTTTATAATTTGAGGTCAACGTACTGAATATCAAATATTCCACGTGTCAAGAAAATTTTTATGATTTTTTTTTGTGAACCAAGATGACTCAAATACCACTAGATTCAAGGATTGTGAATCGGAACGAAAGTCGAAAATTTACAATTTCTTAACTCCTTTTTGAGTTTTAAAGCCTTTTTTTTTAAGAACAACAGAAAAATTCAAAAAGTTAGTTGGCTTTTTTTTAAAGATTCTTATTAGGTCTCTAGGTAATCGGAATTATTCATTAAGAAAAAAAAAGGCTTAAAAAAGTTTCATTCTTGCTCGATCTGGAGGGCGCCCACATCGGCCGCTTGAAGGTCACTTGGATATAGTCTGTTCAGATTTTTAATGTCAAGTGCAATGACGTCATTCAAAAACACTCTGTGGATGGCTCGCTCTCTGATTGGTCTATCGCACCATTATGGGCGGAGCTTGAGCGACGACTTGACATTCAAAATCTGAACAGACTATAGCCTGAAACCAGAAATTGACTGTTTTTGGTAGATTTTGAGGGTTCTGAATTAGGTAAAGAGAAAAGTGCCAGAAAAAGTGATGTAGATAAGATTAAGAAACGCCAGTATTTTATTAATTTTAGTGGAGAAGACAAAAAGCGGTCGCATTTTATAGGCGGACGCACCGCGCCGGTCGCATTTTGTAAACGCCCGTACTTTATAGCATGCCATGAAATGCTGGGTGGATCGAGTCATTTAATGGAAATTTAAGCGAACAGCTCGCAGACCGACGTCAACAAATGTGAGTTTGGATATCGGCGCAGCCTGTGGGAAGCTTCTGGCTCCTCGAGTGAACACGTAAGGGGCGCTGACGCCACTTGAGTGATCATTTGTAACTGGAGGAGCCTTCTTTTTCATTCGATAATACTTGCTGTGCAACTGGTAATCTTACCTAACTTGAGGCTTTTTTTTCGAATTATTGAATGGTTTTTTAAAAATAGATGAATCGAATGTTTGAAAAACTTCCTTCAGAATTTTTATACGAGTTTGTTGTTTGTAATGATGATCAATCCATCCCGACTGTAAGGATGAGTGAGGCGAAAAAGTGTGCTAGACGCATAGCGTGTGCGTACGCGGTTCTTTGCACGAATTCAATTAACCGCTACCGATGATTTAAAAAGCTCGGTTACCGCTCTTTTCGTATATTCTACTACTTTACAATGCACAATGAATGATAGAAAAGACAAGAAGAGCGATGAACTAGTTCTCCAAATAGTCGCTGGCGGTTGAACTGAGTTGGTGCCAAGAACCGCAGATGCATACGCTACGCGTTCCGCCACTTTCTCTGCCTCCCTCCTCTTGTGATGGGAAAAATTGGCCTACAATCATCCGAACCTGATCATTCCGAACCAAATCCGAACCAAGTGTTCATCCGAACCTAATCATTCCGAACCAATTGAGTATTCATTCCGAACCAATTGAGTAATCATCCGAACCAAAAAGGGAATTTTTCATGTGTTCATTCCGAACCAAAAACATGTTCATTCCGAACCAAAGGTACAGTTCCTTCCGTTGATTTCTCAAATTTTTTTGAACAAAATTTCTCTTTTTGCAATGGTTTGTCATTTTTAGATGTACTTCCAAGTCGAGAAAATCTGCCGGCTCATTTTCGAACCATGATGTTCCCAACCAAAATCAGAACCAAGTCTCAGGCGAACCCATTCCAACGCGGACCATCTCATGCTCACTAGAACCAATAGTTTTGAAGCTTCGCCCAACAAATCTTCGGTATAGTCCGTGAATTTAGAACACATCAACAACTGGATTCATCTGTTTTTCCTTTTTCGTGAATTTTGAACATTTAGAAACTGAACTTTATCAATAATTTTTTTCAAGACTGTTCAATTCTTCTGCAATTAAGGTCACCTTTTTTTATAGCTCATAGGAGAACAAGATTTTTCAGCGGGATTAGATTCCTTCGAATCCACATTGATGAAGTATCGGAGTAAAAGAAAACGATGAATGTTGGTCCATCATCAGGAAAAAGTGCGAACGGCTCATTAGAAGAGATTTTTCCCTTTTTCGCATTTCGTCCTGTGTAATATCAGATTTCTCAGGGTAATCATTTTCAATAATTGCAGAGCCCTCTGCAAACCATCAAAAACTGCTATTAATTATTGACAGATAAATTTAACTGTAATTTTTTTCAAAAATCACGATTCGTTTCATTCAAAAAAAGTTTTCACTCGAAATGGGCCTGCTATACTTTGGGTCCGTAAGTGAGCACTTCATCTTTCGAGCCCGAACCGATCAATAGGTCCCGAAGTTAATGTTTTTCGTGAGTGGCTGATCTTTCGAATACGAATTATAAATATATTTTTTTCTAGAAACTGAGATTTTTTTAAAAAAACCTTTAAAGAAAGTTTCGTTAACTCACGACTGGCTTTAGCCACTGAAAAAACGCTTCCTCGAGTCCCAAGCTAGTCGTGAATCGGTTATACGATCAAGCGAGCTAGTTCTTCGTCATGTTGCGGTTTCATAGTAAATGAGTAGAATCTTACTGTTTTCAGTCTAATTATCATTTTTCATCAATATGTATTGGTTGGGTTGTTTCCTCAAAGAAGAGTTGGCGTTGGCGCGTGGCACTTGGAAGACAGGAAGAATTAGAGCTGCTGACGGGGCACCCCGTGAATTTAAGCAGTCGCTCCGCAGGGTCGGAAAAGGTAACCTCCAAATTATCATGATTTTCACTCATATGAGTGAAAATCAAGCTGAAGTTGGTGAAAAAAAACTAAGAAAAAATGACTCTTTTGATAATGTTACCGTTTCGCGGTGCGGGGCGCCTTTCTTCTATCAGCAGCTCTGGGAAGAGTAAGCTCAAGCAGATTACGAGCCTTCGAACACCTTCATCAAGCTTTGTTGGCGGACTACACCATTTTTATCCGCGACCGGCAATTCAGAGGTAAAAAAAGGATCGTAGTTCAAGTTCATTAAGTTTATTCTCCAAATTTTTCTCAATTAAAATTTTACACCATGTTCGAAGTAATTCTCGCGAAATCCGCAATTCTCTTCATCACTAAAAAAATTTTTTTTTATGTTTCCCCTTTTTTTCATGAACATTATGAATTTGGCGGGATCAATTTGGACATGGCATAAGAATAGAGCAAAAATAAATGAATAGTTTGAAAAAAATCTCAATTCAAAAAAATAAAAAAATTAAAAATAGAAGGAAAAAAACTGGCTTCAACAAAAGTCTCTGAGATGGCCCAAGAGGCTCTGAAAGCTCTCTAAAAAACCGCTAAGAGCCTTTTTTTCCAGCCGAAAAAAATAGGGGAAAAAGGAAGGCGACGAGAACGACATGTTCAGTAAAAACTTGTAGCCGCTATGCAACGAATTTTTTTCCCGCAAGAAGATTTATAAAGTTTATAAAAACTATATCGTTATGAATGAACAAAGGTGAATCGGGAAATCGATACAAGTAGGTACCGGGTAGCGACCGCTAGTGAGGTAGCTACTTATTAGCAGCTTTCATGATACCGGAAAGCAGAGCTGTTCTCAAGTCGGGGCGACCCTGGCCGAGGCCGCCCCGACCCGACCGCGACGCGCCCCTGAGCGCCCCGGCCCGCGAAGCGGTTTTCATTCAGGCCCCCGAAGCGAGCGCGAGGATTTTTTTCCGTTTTTTTTGTTTTTATTTCGTTTTTTCATATTGGAAATGAATGTTTAAGTTATTTATGATCCATGAAAAAGTTTAATTTTTATTGTTTTTTTGATAGAAATCGGGCTTTTTTTGACTTCACTTTTTTTCGAATCTTTTTCGTTTTTTTCTCGTTGTAAATAAAAAAATAATATTTCAAATAGTGGTTTGAATGAATTTTTTTGCGAAAAATGAAATTCCTGATGATGTGAAAAATTTCAAATTATTTTTTTATTAATTATTTCGTTTTCTCTGGTTCTGTAAACTGTTCTGGCCACTTAGAAAAACTATTGAATTTTTTTGGATTAATATCTCATTTCCTCGGTTTTTTTCTTCTTTGTGTGCTCGATAAAAAAATGTTTTTTTGTTTCACTTTCATTTCAGTGAAACTTGCACTTCTTTTCGCTTTCTTATAACTCGCAAAAAAACCGGGAGTCAAAAAAATTTGTATCTACGGGTCGACCGAGTTGACCCTTACCAAAGGCCGACCGCGGCCGCCCTCGAACACGCCGCAAATCGGGGCGCCCTCGGTCGATCGGGGCGCCCTCGGTCGACCGGGGCCGCCCCGAGAACAGCTCTGCCGGAAAGCATACAGCGATACCACTCCGGTAGAATCCAAGTACCATAGATATAGTACACGGACGCATACAAACAACCACCGATTAGAATACGCTGATTGATTTCAAAGTTGCTGCCCGGTACAATCTTGTAACGACCTCTCGATCGACCAGTGAACAAGAAAATAAGTTGAAGGGCAAAAAATGAAATTCTATTTTTGCCCCTAAAGTTTTTCTAGAGAAAATGGGAAAAATACGAATCAAAGTTGACAGAAAATTCCCTCTCCACCATTCTATCAATTCAATAGTTAGAAACCTCGAAATTTGAAACACTCAAAGAAAAAAGAGAACTTTACGTAAAGTCTTATTGTAAATTTAAATTTTTAGGCCTATTTTTATTTTTGAAGAAGGAAAAACCACTCTGAATAAAAAAATTGAAAAAAACTTCCTATTTTCTATTTTTGAACTCAAATAGTTAGAAAAAAACAGGAAAAAAACGGTTAAAAAAATTAAAAATTGAATTTCTAATTTTTTTGGGCCTAAAATTTACGTGAAAAAAACATAAATTAATGTGCGAAACATGACCTAGTTTAATATTTAGAAATGTGTCAGTTCATAAAACGGATGTAATGATCAATAAATGTAATACTGTTCAAAAATACATGCCGTGTTCAAAGTAATTTCCGCGAAATGCAAAATGATCTCTGACTCTCCAAAATTTAGTGATCTTTTCCTTTCTCTAACGGGTATTTTGCATTTCGCGGAAATTACTTTGAACACGACAACAACGAAAAGAAAAAAAAACGTAAATTGGGCAGGCGCCAAGGTTTTGGCGCACTATTTCATCGCTTTGAGACCATATTTTCCCATTCACTTGGAGGTTTGCCAAACGTTTCTAATTTTCAAAAATCATTCTTGTTTTCTTCGTAGTTATTGATTCTTCGTAGTGATTATTGAATTTCGTTTCTTTCTATGGTTTTTTTTCATGTTTTTCTTTTCACAATATGAAATTTATATTATCTACTGTATTACTATGCAAAAATTATTGAACTAAAAAGCAATTTATTCAACTAAAAAAATTTGGCCTAAAAAAATGTAAAAGTTCTCTTTTTTTGTCTTTCAACGTTTCTTATTTCGAGTTTCTAACTATTAAAACTGATATAATGGTGAAGAGTAAATTTTTCTGGCAACTTTGATTCGTATTTTTTTCCCATTTTCCCTAGAAAAACTGGTGTAAAAAAATAGAATTTCATTTTTTTGCCCTTCAACTTATTTTCTTGTTCACTGGTCGATCGAGAGGTCGTTACAAGATTGTACCGGGCAGCAACTTTGAAATCAAGCAGCGTATTCTAATCGGTGGTTGTTTGTATGCGTCCGTGTACTATATCTATGGTACTTAGATTCTACCGGAGTGGTATCGCTGTATGCTTTCCGGTATCATGAAAGCTGCTAATAAGTACCTACCTCACTAGCGGTCGCTACCCGGTACCTACTTGTATCGATTTCCCGATTCACCTTTGTTCATTCATAACGATATAGTTTTATAAACTTTATAAATCTTCTTGTGGGAAAACTTCGTTGCATAGCGGCTACAAGTTTTACTGAACATTTCGTTCTCGTCGCCTTCCTTTTCCCCCATTTTTCGGCTGGAAAAAGGCTCTTAGAGGTTTTTAGAGAGCTTTCAGAGCCTCTTGGGCCATCTCAGAGACTTTTTGTTAAAAGCCAGTTTTTTTCCTTCTTTTTTTAATGGTGGGAGATTTTTTTCAAACTATTTATTTATTTTCTCCACTTATGCTATACATCGTAGCGTCAATCGAGAATTTTTTTACTGAATAGAATAAATTAATAAAATTGACCCTCGATATTTTTTTTCTACCGGTCGCGGATAGAAACAGTATATCCGTCAACAGCAGCTCGACGAAGGTGTTCGGATGCTCGAATTCTGCTAAAGTTTACTCTTACGACATCTTCACCTAAAAAAAGTTTCATGGAATGATATTACATGAAAAACGAGTAAAAATTTGTCTCATTCACTAAAAAAACCGCGAATGTTCGAAGACTTACCTCAGTAGAAGTTATTTTCTTGTAAAGTTTTTTTTGACTAAGATATAACGTCAAATACATAGTAAGGCTATTCAATAGGACGAAAATTATTGAAAAAAAGCTTTGAACGTCTTTTTGAAAAATCTCACTTTTTCTGAGCTCTATTTGAAAGTTCGCGAATTCTTTTCAATTACATCTGTACGATTTTCACTAGAGTTTGCAATTATTGAAATAAGCTATAACCCGAAAAAACCTGATATTGCAAAAGTTGAACTGGTAATGGGAAGAAAGATCAGAGGGGCCGTATGCAAGAAAATTGGAAAATCATGTTCCGTCATCTTCTTGAAAATAGAGAGCGGCTTGAACTCATCATTAATTCATTAATCTTGACTTTTCCAATGTAATGAGGTTTCATAAGAAGGTTCAATCAGGATAGAACAAAATTCATGTATAAAAGAAAAATCAAAGTCATATTCGAGTTTCAGGAAAATCGTGGAATTTTTCACCTTATTGCACAGGATATCGCGGCATGAAAGAGAATAGTTTCACTTTTGAGCCCGAAAGAAAGTTAGAAGAAAAATACCGTTTTTTTCAAACTGTAGTGAAATCTCTCCTAATGAGCCGTTCGCACTTTTCCTGATGATGGACCAACATTCATCGTTTTCTTTACTCCGATACTTCATCAATGTGGATTCGAAGGAATCTAATCCCGCTGAAAATCTTGTTCTCCTATGAGATATAAAAAAGGTGACCTTAATTGCAGAAGAATTGAACAGTCTTGAAAAAAATTATTGATAAAGTTCAGTTTCTAAATGTTCAAAAATTCAAGAAAAAGGAAAAACAGATGAATCCAGTTGTTGATGTGTTCTAAATTCACGGACTATACCGAAGATTTGTTGGGCGAAGCTTCAAAACTATTGGTTCTAGTGAGCATGAGATGGTCCGCGTTGGAATGGGTTCGCCTGAGACTTGGTTCTGATTTTGGTTTGGAACATCATGGTTCGAAAATGAGCCGGCAGATTTTCTCGACTTGGAAGTACATCTAAAAATGACAAATCATTGCAAAAAGAGAAATTTTGTTCAAAAAAATTTGAGAAATCAACGGAAGAAACTGTACCTTTGGTTCGGAATGAACATGTTTTTGGTTCGGAATGAACACATGAAAAATTCCCTTTTTGGTTCGGAATGAATACTCAATTGGTTCGGAATGATTAGGTTCGGATGAACACTTGGTTCGGATTTGGTTCGGAATGATCAGGTTCGGATGATTGTAGGCCTTTTTTTTTCTTCAATAAACTCTTCGTGATTTGCAGTGGGCTCACCTATGACCGTCGCCTTTTGCCGTCTGACTATGAATTTTCAGGAATCACAATGAACGAAACATTTTTGTGGGGAGTTTGTTCTGAATTTTTTATTTATGAGTCAAAGAAACCTCCTCGGAAATGCTCACGAAAAAATCCATGAAAAAAATTTGCGACAAAAAGAAGTCCAGCTGTTCGAATAGGCTCAAAACGCAGTGTTTTCATGTTTATACGCTTCAAAACTCAAAAAAGGAGCACTTACATGGAAATATCCAAAAAAGAAAAAATTGCAAAAAAAGTTTGCACAGCGTGGGGACCGAACCTATGACCTCGTGCTCCCAAGTCCGCCGCCTTTCCACTGCTCCTCGCTGCCGTTGCTTCGACAGCCGTCGGATCGCAATAGGACACCGCGCGCGCATTCTCTTGTGTGCGGCGGGGCTTTGGAAGCTCATATCTTGGCTCACAAACAATTTTTGAAAAAATTTGATGGTTTATCGTGACAAGGGAAACAAGGACTATATAACCTCTAAAAATGAGCTCGATCGGAGACTATGAAATTTTCGACTTTTGAGGGTCCATAACTTTTTTCACAGACCTCGGTGGCAGCTTTTGAAAACGGATTTGGAATCAGCGTGAAAAACTACATCTAGAAAATATGGTCTATTTCAAAAGTCCCACTGTGAGCTGAGACCATTCCCTGGTCAGGAAGGAACAGTTTTACAGAATTTAACAGTCAAAAACATTTACACGCGAACGTAAATTTACGCGGAGAAACGTCTCCTAAAACTGCGTGACAGTTGCGCTAAGCCGCGCCCACTAGCCACCCTCTCCAGCCTTTTTAAAACGCCGTGTATCGCTTTTTTACATTTTCCAGAGGAAGGTTATTATTTCACTCTTTGGAAAACGCCTTTTAAAAATAACGAGAACAGAAGGCGTGTTTCATGACTTTTTCAGTTCTTGAAAAAAATTATTCTGGGGACAAAAGGTGATAAAAATGAAGAATCAAGGCTTTTAAATGGACATGTCTAGGCCTATCCATCAAGAGTTCCGGAAAAAAAGAAAAATAAAAATAAAAAAACTTACTTTTTTTCCTCCGACGAAAAATTTGAACAATGAAGATGGCCCCAAAACCTAAATTCCATTTCAAGTACCACAAAGACGAAAAAAATCTCCTTTCACGCCAAAAAAATAAACACAAAAAAATTCATTTATTCACAATTATACAGGAAATAAAAAAATTATTAACAAATTGGAAATGAACGTAAAACCCGTTGAAAATGATTCGACATAAACTGTAAAAAAACCCATTTTGAAATTTTTCAAACTCAAAATCACCTAATATCGGATCGATATTATATCGTATCAGTACACCCGTCGAATTTGCAAGTAAACTATAGCTTATTTTTGCGCTCAAGCCGGTCCCACTCAAAGAATTGAAGGAAGATGCAGAGTCTCTGAAAAATAGATAACTTTTTCATAAATTCTCAGGAAAAACCTACAAAGTCTGAGTTTCTTGGCTTTTCCCATTATTGATAGTTATTGAAACATTATCACCATATGATAAATCTCCACCGACAGTCAGAGAAAATGTCGCGTTGGATGGTTTTCCTGAAATTCAACTAAAAAAATCTGATCAAAAATGTGGGCCTATAAATGTTGAAAACTCCTATGGAAGCGGATAAATTCCAACAAACGTTATGAAATGTAAGAAAAAATATTAAAAATTTACGATGGCCAAAAAAATTTTTTTGAATAGTAAACACTTAAAATTGAATAAAATGCAAAAAAATTAAAAAAATTTTCCATTTGTTCGAACTTGAAAAAAACTAATGATTTGTCAACTTCATGACAAAAAAATTTTCGAAAAAGTTCTTTGTATAAAAAAACCAACCAGAATCTAACTTAAAAACTTGAAGACTTTGCGAATCCCTTATCAAAAAGTTTAGCTGACTCAAATATCCATCAGACATCAAAACGCCACTCTTTTTTCTTGTTATCCTCCCAAACGTTCCTGAAAACTTGAAAACATTCATATTTTGATTTGAAAGAACAAGGGAACCCGAATAATATCCCTGAATTTCGATTTGAACATTTCCTTCAACGTAAAACGTCCAACAGCTTCCACGCAACATTACGGGGACCCAATCCGAAATATATTGGGAGCTGAAAAAATAATTGACTGATTTTTTGATGAATAAAAATGAAAATTACTCAAAATTAGCGATAAGCACTTCATCACTATGTCGAATGGCACAATTCGCGTAAATAAGTAGCCGTTGGAAGCCCTGAAACGTAAAATATGGCGTAACTTACACAAAGAAAAACATTTTCCGAAAACATTTGAAAATGCGTTGAGTAGAAAAATTGGACTACGAAGTGACATAAATTCAATTCACCCGTTGTGTATTCTATGGAGTAATGAACTGATAAATACTTTTCTTTTCTCTTTTATCTTACTACGTGGAAAATTATAACACAAAAAGTTCTGATTGTCGCACCAAACTTGTTCCGAAACATTACATTTTTTGTTTTGAAACCAATTTGTTGCATTTAATGACGTTTTCATTCGAGAAACGGAACATGCTTCAAAAAAAATCGTGTTCATTGGCGCGCCAAAATTGCTTCAAAACAGTACTAATTTTTGTTTTGAAGCAATTTTTTGCGTTTCGGAACAATTTTCGTTTTGTCCGATGAACACGCCATAAGAAAAATTGAATTCCGATGAATGCGCCGAGAAAAAAAAGCAAGAAATTCACGAATTGGTGCATCAGCGCGCCATTGCAATTTTAAAGCATATATATATCTATCTCGGACATTGGTAACGCGAAACGGACGTGCTCCGGACGTTTCTGGGCGATTCTAGGGATCCCTTTTTCTGAGGCTACTAAAGTGGTCATTAGAAATGCCCCGACACGTCCGATTCGCGTTACCAAGGTCTCAGTATAGATTTTCAATTTTTTTTTTAATCGTCTCTTTTCTTTTTTCTTTTTCAAATCTTTAAAAAACAAACCAATAACCTCGATCGGAGTAATGCCCACAATGTAGGAAGTCGCATACGGGTTATATGGAACAAATTCTATCATTCTAAACACGGCGGCATTTGATTCACTCTGCAAACTTCAAAATACGAAATAAAAGTTGAGGAAAATTCGAAACTTCTCCCGCCAAGGAGGCATTGCCAACATCCACGCGGTCGGTGATATAGCTAGCTTAAAAATAATTCATAAAAGAACATTTTTATTGGGTTTTCAGCAGCCAACCATGTCGATCGGAGCTGTCCATTCCAAGAAGTTCATAGGGCGCAAAAGCGAAAATGACATCGTTGGGAAAGTTTTCCTCAGAATATGGCGAGCCGACGTTGACAATGCGAGTACTGTTACCAGCTCCGAGCATGAAAGGGATTTCTTGGCTGCATTCGTCCAATCTGAACTATTTCTATTTTTTGGCAGGGAGAGGAAAGAAAATTGGAGAGTTAGCTGAAATATTTAGCCGAGGCAAACTTCAGAGAACTATGGCTCCAGTTGAAAAAAGTATTTCTTCCGGGTTTTTAGGATAAAATCTTGTTAGAACTTACAAGAGAAAAATATTTCTCAACTAATAAAAAAATCTGAAAAAAACTTGAAAGAAATTTTTAAAAAAATTTTTAAAAAAACGACTGCATCTTCACAGAAGAATCGAGGTAACATATGATATATAAATTCACAAAAATCATTGAAAAATAAAGAAATGGGAATATGGGAAAATAGAAAGAATATTGAAGTCAAAACTTAAAACCCACCGACAAACACAAGTGTCCGACGAGTACAAATGAAACTGCGACAAGTAAATCGGATCGAAATGCTGGCTTTTGATATAAACCATCGGATTGCAGTTCTCGATCCCGTCACAAGTGAATAAAATTGAAGAATTGACCGGTATTAGAGATGCATACACGATAACGGCATAGTCCAACGAATACTTCATAACGATTTCAGGTTGTGGAGCTGGAAATTTTTTTTTGCTAAACTTTATTTTATTTTGAAAAAAGTCGGTTCTGGGGTTTCCAAAACCGTAACATGGCTTTTCGCTTTCAAATTTTTTGAAGAAATCATGTCTGAACCCCTTGGAAAGATATAGACGATTCACGGCTAGCTTGTGACACGAAAAGGCGTGGCGTGTCTGCGCTCTCCACCAATCAGGCTCTGTCTTTCTCTTTTCGTGTCGGGACCCTTTTTTCGATGGCTTAAGCCAGCCGTGGATCCGCTTTACTCACTTCAATGCAAGCCAAAAACTTAATCTCTATTCACCTAATTTTTTACTGCTCTGAACTCGAAGTGGGACTTCCCAACAAAACCAAGTTCACCATTTGAAAATGCGAAGATTTTCAGACTTTCTCAATGATTTCGAAACATTCGGAAAAAAGAAAGCCCATAAGAAAAATAATCGTCAAAAATTTCCTCTGTTCAACCCAGCCATATTCAGAAACCCCACTTAAAGATTGGAAAAATCCAGGATTACAAATTCAACAAATTTCAGTAACAAACTGGTGAAAAAAATTGACTTACTTATAAAATCCAATTGTTCTGCTCTCATTCTTGAAAACGAAAAAATCGCAAAAATTAAAAATAAAAACTTCATATTCTCTCTTTGAGTCAGAAAAAGCATCGAAACGGACAGAGATTATAAAATTCTTATCAGCAAGCCTGATAAAAAAGCGTCAACATCATTGATTAAACGCAAATTGAAACAGTGATAATAAAAATAAACAAAGTTGAAATTTGAAGCGATAAAGCGGCGGAAGAGCCAATCGCTGAAAAAAAAAACTGTAATTTTCAAAGAAACTGTTCCGATTCAAACCACTAATGATCGGTTCAATGTAATACCGTATCATGATTCCTGTCGTATTTTTCGGGATACTGTAGCTTAAATTGGCAATCTTGCCGGTTACTGTAAGAGACGTGGAGTCCCTGAAAGTTTATATATTGTTTTTTTTTTGTTTAGAAGTATCAGCAAACATCAAATGAGTTTCCTGGCTTTTGCCATTATCAACGGTCAACGTCACCCGAACTCCAGCCGTCCAATTTTGAGCCAGGGATACGGTAAATGTGGCATCAAGCGGGTTATTGTAGTCCGCTTCTGCAGAATTACCCTTTTCATAAAAGGATGACGAAAATTTCTCATAATATTCATAGTGAATTTTTATTTTTACTGAAAATTATTTTTGAGCTTTTTTCACGCTTTCATATCTTAGGAACTTCAGAGTGGTCCCCATAGGGGCTACCTTAGAGGCCTTGGAGGGCTAGAAGCTCTAGGGGCCACTTTACCAACCCCTACAGGAGACACTGAGGCTTGCAAAAAAAAAAAAATCCTACAGAGGTTTCTGTTAGTGGCCCCTATAGGGGACAAGCTACTCGATAATTTTCATAAGAAGCATTTCCATGCGAAAAACTGAAAAAGAGCCTTTTTGAATAAAATCGAACCACCCCTATATGGACCACTTGAGCTTTAGGAGCTAAGGGGTCAGACGCTAAACCCCGATAGGAACCATTTTGATTTTAGCCCTATAGGGACCACTTTTCCGGCCCGGAATCCCTTAGAACACGACATAACCTATTTGAAAAGTGCAAAAAAATGGATTTATGCGGTTTTTTTTGTCCATGGAGCTAAAAAGTTCCAAATTTCAAAGCCATTTCATGCACGGATATTATGTCTTTAGAGACACTTTAAAATATATTATGCAGTAAGCTTTTTATTCTCAATGATTTTATGTCAATCACCGATTTCCTAAAGTTAGTTTTCAGTATTCTTTGAAGATTTTTGAAGAAAAAAAGGTTCCCTGTAGAACAATTTTTGTCATATTTTCAATGATGATGGCCCTAAGTTTCTCAAAAATGTATGCTTCTCATCATCCAAATTTATTTAGTATCGCTAAAAAAAAGTCAAATTTTAAAAATCGGTCTATTTAACGGTCCCAAAAATGAAAAATATCCCGAAACCAACCTTCTTCAATACTTTTGTAAACCCGAAAAACCGTCGAATCGGCTATCAGATCATTTTTCTCACTCAAATATCCATCCGACAACAAAACTCCGTTCAATGGACCGATCACAACTCCCAAGTTTTCTGGAAAAAAAAACATTAAATTGAATTTCAAAAAAATTTTTTAAAAAAACCCCGGAGAAAATATTTTTCATGAACAAATGCATTAACAGTATGATCCGAAAATTACTTGCATAATATCCCTGAATTTGAATTTGGGCCGATCCATCGATGAAGAAGGTCCAACACCTTCCCCGTAACATTATAGGGGTCCAAAAGTCCAAGTTTTCAGGTCTAAAATATTCAATTTTTGAAAGAATACAACTTTTATTTACGAAATTTCAGCAATCAGCGCCTCCGGTCTGTGTCGTATTGCACAGTTTGCGTAAATGGCGAGTTTATGGAACTTCTGAAACGTCAAGTTGTGCTACATTTGAGTTTTAGATGCATTTTTTTTTTTGGAATACTAATGTTTTACGATTTTTTTGCAGCCATCCCTGAATGAATAACAGCTTGGAAATCTTTTTATTCATGATATTACTCAAATCCAGTTTTTGCGCGTCATTTTTTGTGCATCGAGTGCACTGCGTACAAAACATTTTATTTTCCGCCGATGTTTTTTTTCAGTGAGTTCCGAAATAGAGAAAAAAATAATCGAATTCCCGATTTTAAAAATTATTTTCTTACTGTTTTTTTTAACTCTACAACGACCTTCAATTTCTAATTTTTCAGGATTATTATTTATTTTTCAAAAATTTACAGCAATCGGGGTGATGTCGGTGATCCAAGAAGTCGAATATTGATCATACGGGTTGGTGGCAAACATTCGATATACAGCTTGGTACTGGTTCATCTTTAATATTGAAATAAATACCGTACCAAGAAGAACAGAAAAAAGGGACCTACCGAGAACGTGAAACTACCAGAACTGACACGAGGAAAGGCGAACGTTTCTAAAAAAAAATAGTTGAGGCTATAGAAAAACTTAAACTTGTGAAATGACTTTACTAATATTTTAAAAATTCATCGAAGCTCAGAAACATTGAAAATCTCTAGTAACCAACAGTTTTCGTTCAAAAAAGCAACTTCCTTTAAAATATGAATCAAAACTGCTATAAAGTTCAAAACTAACTTCCAGGGGTTTTTTTTTTGAGCAAAACTACTTCAAATTGACTATAGAGCAACAAAAAAAAGTACTTTTTTCGAACTGTATGATAACCATTCTACAGCATGTCTAAATAACAGTAACCTAGAGTGTTTCTTAAAAATAAGCATCTTCCTCTCAAAAATGAATAAAATTAAAAATACAGGGTTTCTTTTTTGAACAAAAAGAGTTTAAAATGAAGGCATAGTGACGTAAAAAAAAATGTTTCTTGGCTTAGTGATGCGATTTTTTTCTACTGTTTCAAGCCACATGATCATATCCTACAACACCTTGTCTAAACAACCTTAATCTACAGTAACCCACCAACCTGGCACAGCAACATCGTAATAAACGCCCAAATGTTCGTAGGGGGCGAAAACGAAGAGGATTCCCATCTTACTGTCGACCTCAAACTGGGATCCATCGCGAATCAGTAAAGTGTCATTGTTCGGGCCAATCGCAATCGGTAAATTATTGAAGACGTTCCAATAACAGTCGTCCAATCTTCAAGGGAATGATGGGGAAATGAACTCAAAGATAGTTCTGACGTGTCTGCGCTCTCTCTCTCAAACGCTATTTATCTTATGGTCATATAAATAGTTCGTTTTTCGCGACTCAAAAGGGCGGGACTTTTCTGCGCCCTCCTTATAGTCTGTCCAGTTTTCAAATGTCAAGTACTCGCTGAAGCTCCGCCCCCTAAAGGCGCGATAAACCAATCAGAGAGCGATCCATCCACAGAGCGTTTTTGAATGACGTCATTCTACTTGAAATTCAAAATTTGATATCTCTTGACATCTCTCTCTCATGTTAACGTGCTATTTCCATGTTTCTCTGACCTCGGCGGTAAGGGAACAGAGAGACGCAGACACGCGAGAACTCGCTCAAGCTCCGCCCCAAATGCGACGAGGAACCAATTAGAGAGCGAGCTATCTATAGAGCGCTTTTGAATGACGTCATTGCACTTGACATTCAAAAACTGTTTAAAAGAGAAAAGAGGGCGCAGACAGGTTAGTAAGTCTATATAATTCAAACAAACCGACAAATCATTTGGTCAGAAGAATACAGATAAAATTGGGACAGGAATTGTTGAGCTCCATGATCGACAATGAAATAGAACTGCGGATTACACAGTTCAATATCACTGTCGCAAGTAAAAGAAATCGCCGAGTTTGGAGGAATATCCGAGGCGTCGAGGAGCATAGCATAGTCAGGAGAATATTTTTACTTCTTTCGGTTTGTCGTAGACTGAAAAGTTTCAATTCTAAATGAAAAATAAAATTTGAAAAATATTTGTTTCAGAGAGGTCCTAGGAAATAATTCAACGCTTTGTTAGAAATAAAAAAATCAATAATTTAACACAGACTGCTGCGCGGCCGCAACGCGTTGTGCCACTTTATGATAATATAACGATGTTTCAATTCAATGCCGAATGATTCCTCAAAATCAAAATAGGCGTCAGAGAAAGAAAAGGACAACTGAATTTTGGAGAGTCATAGATAAACTTTGAAAAAGGCATAAACATCGCGATTTTTGTCAATTTTTGCTTTTCCAACACGGAAACTGATACAAAAGCTTGACCAATGAACGAATAAAAAATTTTTAAAGCGCACAGAAATCCGTGAAAAACACTAGCTGAATCTCCTCTTCCTACGTAGGTTTTCAAATTCTTGGGTTTTTATAAATAATCTTACGAATGCGTGAACAAAACTATTTTAGCTAATTCACGGCTATCTTGGGACGATAAGGGGGCGTGGCCTGTCTGCGCTCTCCACGAGCCAGGCACTATCTCGTGCATTATCGTGTCGGGACCCTTTTTTCACTTAACTTTACAGGTTAACTTTTATACCAGAGCGCTTTAATATTTTTAAAAAGTCTATCAAAACATCGAAAAAGTCCTTCAAAACGCTATAAAAATCATTTTCAACGCATATTTTTGCATTGCCTGTCTTCAAAACTTACGAGAAAGAATATTGAAATCCAAGCTGAATGAGATGATCCCAATCGGAGTGCTTAAAATGAAAAAGATCCCGACATCATTCGTGTCTCCGAAATCGAAAATTTGGTCCGTACTGTTGTACGTTTCATTCAAACTGAAAATAATCATAATTCCTTCAAAAAAAAGGCAGAAGAAAACAAACACAAGGACAGTAGTGCTGGAGGAGCTGTTAACGACTTTGACGGAATTATTTCCGATAAATTGGCCCACAACCGATAATTCGGCGCGTTGAAAAGGTCCGACTTGGAACTGAAAAATATAATTTTGAAGGAAAAATTAACTACTGAACTCTCTTGAAACCTGTTTAAAAAAGCGTTTCAGAGAAAAATTACCATGAAATTGCACATAATTTCTTCTTTAATTTCCGTCATCGGTCGGAAATGCATGACTCCTACTTGAGGGAGTAACGTTTGATTTTGAGCAAAGCATCCTGGAAAGAAATATTTAGTTGATGAAGAAGTTTAGTTGCAGGAAAAAAAAAACTGAAGAGATTCTTTTATGAAACCATGCGATAGCTAGCAGTAAATCTCTATATAGAATATAAAAATTATAATCATTTTACCGCAAATTTATCGAAGGAGCTACGCGAACTCGTTAAAAATCGAGTTCAAAGTTTTGTAATTTATAGACTTATTTCATATATTTGAAAAAAAAAGAATTAATTGATGAACCCGATAAGGCATTCAGAAAAAAATCTGGTTGAAAAATAGGCGGATTAGGCTTGAAAATTTTTCAAAATGATGCTTTTCTCTAAATTTTCCGATGAATAATTATTTTTTTTGATGTTTTTCTTGTAGCCGAATCATTCAAGTAATTTGCATTGAAAGATAAAATGAGGTGAAAAAGCAGTTTTCTGAAAATATTCAAGCCATTTTTTTCTACTTTCAACAATTTTTTCCTCGGTACCTTATGAAAATTAGCAGAAAATCTCTATCGTTTTCAAATATCCTCACTTAAATCTAGAAAAAACCAAAGTTTAAACTCGATCCGTGTCTCCGCAACGCGAAACGGACGCGAATCGGACGTGTCCTTGCTTTTCTATTTAGTGACCACTTAAGTAGCGCCAGCGCTTTTAAGTGATCCTAGAACTGCCAAGAAACGTTCGGATCTTGTTAACGTTACCAATTTTCGAGGTATTTTCCTAGTACGAATTTTATGAGACTTAATACGTTAGAAGAGCTTCCACAATCCATCTTTGGCTTTCATTTTTTTTTCTGTTTTTAAAAATTGCTTTTCGATCATTTTAATCAAGGCAATGATGAATGAACTGTGATGCTTCTTATTGAAAAAAACCATTGATATACTTTTTAAAAATCCGTTCTAAACCTTTATTCTCTTGTTCCAATCTGATTAAATTCAATTTTGAATACTTAAAAAAACGACCAACCCGACACGTCGATGACTAGATCATTGGCATCGGCGTAAAAAAAGCCAATAAAATTATGCAAAAAAATACAAAAGCTTCATCAAAAAAACAATCTTTTTTTACAAAAAGAACGAGGGGAAAGAGCCCCGCGGCAAACAAAATTCCATAAGCTGGTGCGCTAATCTTTCAAAAAGTTTCTTTGATAAGGTGCCCCTCAAACAAATGACATATTTATTAAAAATAAAACCAAAAAAAGGTGGGGGGAAAAATGTCAATGCGTACATATATATTACATTACGAGGAAGAAAAAAGAAGCTAAATTCTGGGATAAAAATTCTTGAGCCATCACTGAGATAAACGAGGGGGGCTAGAAAACTTCAACAAAGACAATAAAATCTTTCTTTTTTTTTGAGGGAATAATTACTGAAGGACGAGACCAATCTGTTCGGGTTTCATGTCGGCGCACTTCCAGTTGTACAAGTAGTACTGGAGATTTCCGTCGCCGATTCCGAATTTGAGATCCTTGAAGACCTCGTTGTTCCGCATCAGGTCCAGAGCGTTGAACACGTCAAAGTGCTCCTGGAAAATTTGTTTTTCATGGCGTTTTTGAGAGAAAACTTGATAAATGGAGTTTACAAGAGAAACAAATAATCGAGAAAACTAAAAGTTTAAATTACCCAATGAAAAGTTTCAGAATACGCTCAAAAAGTTCTTTTTACGTTGTTTAAGGATGCAGAAGTCTTGCATTACCAGAAATATACAGTACTCTCAGAAATTATATGAAAAAAACGGGGTTTCGGTCACAACTTCCTTTGTAAAAAAATCTTTCTGAAACTTTCTGGAATTGTGATAACTGTTATTTTTTTAATACTCTAATGAAGTTTCAGTTCAGAGAAAAAAACGGAAATTCAGAAACTTTCGAATTCCTTACTAGGAAGTTGTGACAGAAACCCCGTTTTTTCGTATTTTTTCTGACGTAAAGTAACAAGAATGGCTTTTCTCCTTTAAAATCGAAGGAAAAAAACTCCAAAAAAATGAAGAATCGGGAAATTTTTTTCAAAAAAATTATCATTATAACAGTTTAAAAATAAATCTTTGGTTCCAATTACTGAAGATTTTCAGGATATCATTGAAACTTACTGAAGAAAGACCTAATCTTTGTTTTTCTTTAATTTTTCCTGCTTTTTTTGAAGAATTTCGAGCAAGAATTCATTTTAAAAAAAAGTCATCTGCATTTTTATGAAATTCTGTAATGCTAATGGCTTCTTTCTCATGGTCAATCTTTAAAAGAACAACTATCCAAATTCAAATTCAAATTTCACGAAAAAGTCTTGATTCTGTTTTCAACACAAAAACACACAGAAATAATGAGAAATCCTCACCCGATGGGCCAAGATTAAAGCGTCGTTGATGAGTTGCTTGAGGGCAACATTTTGGGCCACGTAATAGTACAAATAGGCGGCGTTGACGGATTTATGAGCGGGATGGCCCATGACGGTCGACGGCAGCGAGTAGAACGACACCATGTCCGACAGCTCGCCGTTCTTTTGCTGGAAGTTCATAAAATACGCATTTTAGGCACACATTTCGAAGATACTCCTTAAATTCCAAAGGGCCTTTAGACAATCTTTGAGAGAACAATCATTAAAGCTGAAAAATGTGAACTTGAAGAGGGTTTTTTTATAACACGTGGAGTATCGATTCATCTTCTCCGGAAGCTGTAGCTTTCTTGGATTATTCAATTCTCGAGCGGTCACTGAATTTTCTGAAGGAGAAAAGGGGAACTACTGGGAAAATTTTTAGTGGCCTCTATAGGGTTTTGACGTATTGGTGACCACTATAGTTTTCAAACTAGTAACCACTATAGATGTCTAAGTGCTACTTCTAGACCAATAGAAACTTTAGTGGCCACTTTAGGGCTCAACCAAAATAATAAAGATTTTCAGCAAAAACTGATTTTTTGAAGTGAATGTACAAATCGAAACCAGCGGCTGCTATGTTTCATTTCTTATTGAAATGATCATCGTTAACTTGTGTATTGTTTTCCAGTCTGTTCCTCCAGAATCAAAACAAATAACCTTTCTTTTTTCTAGATTTTCGAGGAAGAATATTTTGAAAGCTTTTTTTTTGGATCCCGTAGCTTTCTCTTTGTTGCGGGAAAAATTTTTAGTGGCCGCTATAGTAGTCAAAATAGTGGTTACTGAAGAGGTTAAAAATTAGTGGCCACTATAGAGGTCTAAGTGTTACTACTATCCCACTTAAAATTTTAGTGGCCACTTTAGGGGTCTAAGTGCTACTACTAGACCACTAAAAACTTCAGTGGCCACTTTAGGGGTCAATGGATCAACAAAACTGGGGCAATTTGTTTGTTTTAAGATCATCAGAGTTACTGGAAGGAATACTGGATGAAAAACTACGGAAGTGGCCACTAATTTCAGAAACTCCATAGTGGCCACTATGAAGGTGGGTTTAGTGGCCACTTTAGTGTCCATTCCAAGTAGCCCTTGGCGAGCCTCTATAGTGGCCACTCAAAATCTTCCCAGGATTTTAGTTTAGCCAAGATATTTATAGTCCATTCCGCGCCAGCTTGTCACGTTTTCCCTTCTGCCAAAAAAGACCGTATTAAGAAAATTGAGCATTTTCGTTTCGACCTTTGTTTTTTGATGTCTTTTTAGCAATTTTTTAGAGCAGAAGGTTGTATTTACGGTAGCTTTTTCGTTTTGCGCGGAAATAAACTATATCAGTCGAATGATATCTTTTTTATTGAAGAACGGATCTGAATCCCTCCATAAATGATTTTATTCTATTGTAACGCCATATTCCCACCTAGCTATTTTTAGATCTTATCTCTCGGGAGCATTATGCCGAGGTCAAGCTCCGCCCTTTGTCATCCTGTGCTGACCTATCGATTACTACCTCATTCTGCGCATAACAACGAGCGCTACGAATGAAAATTACCAAGTCGTGCCGCCTAACAACGCATTTAACGAGGAGATATAGGAAAACTAAATCAACATTACACTAGTGCGCGAGCTCGCCCGTCAGCCCATCGGCGCCCGGCCATTTTCTGAGCCCGACTAGGGCCCAAAAAGGGAATTTTTTCCCCGTCAAATATTTTATACGACAAAAAATATTGTTTTTACACTTAACAGCAACTTTGATTCAACAAAGAAAAAGATTTTTTCGAGGAAAATTTCAAGTAAAGATGAAAAATTACATAGAAGCCTAGCTTGGCCCAAGTCCGCGCGGGCTTCTTGGCAAAATTTAGTCCCTAAAGAGTCCCAGCGGAGCACACAAGCCAGATACTACCGTTTTTTGTCAAGTTAAGTTAAAAAAACTTTTCCAACTCTCTCTTTTTGAATTTATAATTTCAAAACCTGAACGACGTAGGTGAAGACGACGTCCTTGCGCGGCAAGAACGTGTGCTCGATTTCTTCGTCTGTCGCGAAAATCGGGGCCAACGAGTACTGCTCCAAGTTCTTGGTCAGCAGCGTGAGAAGCTTCGGGACGTCGCGTTTCTCCATGGGGCGCAGGTTCGCCGTTGCCGTCTCCTACAAGAAATGATGAACTTTTCAAAAATTCATTGAAGATACTCAAATTCGATTTATCTTTACCCGTTCCAGGCGGAATTTCAGTAAACTTGCAAGAGTTTGGTTCAAATTCCCTCATCCAAAAATGAAAATCTAAAGGCCAACACTCAAAATACATGAAAAATTCTACAGGGAACAAAATTTGATTAAACTCCTCAAAAATCTTTTTCTGAGGCCAGTTTTCATCAGGAAAAAGTGAAAGAATCAAAAAAATGCCATATATTATCAAAATTAAGTTTCTGATCATGTTCCAATTCAACTTGCACTACTTTGACTCTACATAATCCATCTTTCATCCCAAACTCCCTCACATTAGGCAACTTGTAGAGCTTGATGGTCCTGGCCAGGGTCATTTTGGCGGAAAGATGCGAGAACCGAACTTCGACCAACTTTTTGGGGTTCAGGGATCTGTGCCAGTACCGGCACACGGAGACCGGCTTCGGAATCACGATTCCAGCCGTAAAAGCGGCCTGAAAAATCGATAATTTTTAGTTTCAATTAGAAAAAGAACTATAAATTGTCAAAAGTTTATCCAACTCCATAGAAACTTATTATTATTATTATCTCATTTCTACCACCCGAGTGGTCGGTCTTCATTTCCGCTCTCGTCTGAGATTTAATCCGACGCCCGTAAGCCCTGGACAAGCTGTGCGCCGTACTGTTCCTACATGGAGAAGCAGTGATCGTCGGAAAGGCTCGAAAATCGTCTACTACTAGCACAAGAGAGGCGAGATGCTCTACGCGCCGTCTACACTTGATCAACGACAGTATCGCGAACCGACAAACAACTCTTCAATTATTCCATGATTCAGCGGAGAACCTACTCTGAAGACTGAACAAAAGTTTCAAAGTTTCATAGAAACTACAATTTTTCCAAGCTTCGGATAAAAATAGGAAGCTCCTGACGACCCGTTGAAACCTGGATTCCCATTTAAAAGCACATTTTTGTCCTTTTAAAATGAAAAAAAAAATTGAAAGGCAAAGACTTTTTTTCTAATCTGCAGTAAAAGGATTTTCCCCCGTCTCAAGTTTGTTAAATTCATCAAAATCACCTGGAAAATGCCTTGCTGATTGACACGACGGGTGATTTCGCGGATCAATACTGGAGCTACACGTTTTGATCTTAAAAATTCAATTTGTGAACGATTAAATGTTTCAAAATCTTCTGAAAATTGAGCTTAAAACTCGTATGAAATCCTGTCAAAAAGCGGAAAAAAATGTGATGTGAAGAACTTGCCAGCAAAAGTGTCTTTATTTGAACCTTTTCAAAAAAATATTTATATCAGTTTATGTCAACTTTTTTTTCGAAAAATGTATTCAAACTCATAATTATTTCTTTCTTGAAATATGATTTTTTTGAGCTCTTCTCATCTTAATTCGCTTACATTTGAATACTTTCAATAGTAAAAAAACCAAAACTTTGAATTTTACACAGTTTTATAATCTTTTAATCTCATTTCCCTCACCTCAACTTCTTGTGAACACAGAGAAAGTTGATTTCGACCATTTTGACGGCCTTTTTGTAGACGCGAATGTTCTGCGGGACAGCGCCGATGAAGGCCAGAAGACGGCCGCTGGATTTGGCCCGGACTCCGCAGTGCCATTGCGGGAGCCAGCCGGGCACTTGTAGAGCCCTTGAATTATCGAATTTCAACTCGTTTAGATGAATGAGGAAGAAAAAGTCAGAAAAAGAAAAGAAACAATTGGAAACTTCAACATTCTTAGTTCAAAGTGATTCCGCAAAATAAGAAATAGCCATCAAAGAACGAAAAAGATCAATAAATTTTGGCGAGTCAGGGAAAATTTTGAATTTCGCGGAAAACACTTAGAAGCATTCTGATAGAGAAACTGCCGGATATTTCTGAAACTTCTGACCAGATTTATATGCCAAAAGTAATTTTAAAAAATCAAAGCGACCTGCAAACTAATGTATTTGAAATATGATCAAATACTTTTAATGAACTTTTCTATTCACCATTTCAAAAATGGCGCCGCATAATCGAAACGGAACATGGCGTCCTCATCCTCCACGTAGTTTTCCGTCAGCAACGTGTAAAGCTCCTGAAATATCGATTTCTAAGGGGCGGAAATCAGTTTTTCAATCAGAGTTCGACCAGAAAATTCAGCTCAGATTTTAGTTTATTAACACTTTTTTTTCCGAAGAAGCATTTGAATTTTCTACTTTTCTATGAAATTTAGAACTTCAAAAAGTAAGAGAGATCGAATTTTTGGTCTTTAAAAGCTTTAAAAAACTGTTAGGGCGACTTATTTTATTGAACTAACTTCTGTACTTTTGAAAAACGCTGAAGCCAATCTGGGAAAATGTTTAGTGGCCACTATAGTAGTCAAATTAGTGGCCACTATAGAGGTGGGTTTAGAGGCCACTTTAGTGTCCTCTCCAAGTAGTCCTGAGCCTCTATGGTGGCCACTAAAAATTTTCCAAGATTGTCAAATTCTTCCAAATTCTGTCCATTTTTCAAGAGTCCAACTCTAACATTGAGCTGTTTGTCGTCATTGAGGTCCACGTTGCACCATTCGAAACCGTCGGGAAGAGTGTAGGGCTCGCCGCGGACCTGGTCCAGCGGAATATCCGGCTCGATCGCCGTGTTCACGTCTTCGGGAACCGTTTCATCTTAAAATATATCTTCAAAAAGGCTTGATCAGTTGATTTCAAACCAATATTGGGAACGGGTTGGGTGCTCCAGAATTGGAAATTTTTGGAGCGCGCTTCGTCAAGATGACGTGGCGCCGAGGCGACGTTCGGCAGGTTGGAGACGTCGACGCCGGCCGCTCGAAGCTGGTCCATCAACTGAAAAATGATAAAATCTCTTTTTTGAGGTAAAATTTAACTTTATAGCTCTCACAAGCTCTTCAATTAGCATTCGAACTTCATAAAATTCGTACATTCTTCTTCAAACGTCTCGGAAATTTTTTCGAACAACCTATATTGAAAAAAATAACTTTTTGGCTTGAGTCTTCCTTATTATTTGAGTAGAAACGCGCGTGGCATTCGCTCCCATTTATATTTAAAAATGAAATAAATAAAAAAATGAGCGTGATAGTTAAAAATAAATATTTTTTTATAAAAATATTTTTTTCTTTCTTTCCTGAAACCAGTTTTATTGAAAGTGAGGTGAAGACAGCTACCTTTTCAAATATCTTTCTCAACGTTTGAAACACAAATTTAGTGCTTTTGTCTAATCAGAAACTATTCTCTTTGGCGTTTAAAGGCGCAGGAACCTTTCAAGACTTAAAATAAAGTCTACAACGACATTTAGTGTCGATATTTCTTCAAAAACTTCTCCCATCCTTCAAACACACAGCAAGAGTTCTCAGTCGACTTAAAAACCACAAACCGCCTGAATATCGGCGGCAGACGGACGGCTTCCGCCCGGTCCTTCGCCGGCCCCTTCTTCATCATGACTATGTCCATGACCATGACCAGTACACGGGGCTCCGTTGTGACTGTGTCCCGACATTCAATTTCAATTTCTACCCTAGAATGAAGACCTGAAACGATGAAAACAATCCTACCAATGACAAAAAAAAAAGTGAAACGATCAAATCGAAATTTACGAAGGAAAAATAGCGCATACAACAACGAAATGATTGGAAAAGTGAAGAATTTACTAGATTCCATTATTTACCGAATCTTTAACATGAATTGAAGTAGAAAAACGAAGAAGCAAATGAAAATTAGGAGCAATTTGAGCTTTTCCGATTTTTTATTTCAAATCTATTGGCGTGGCAGTGTTTGCAGAATTTTGCTTCACAGTAGCGGCTTTTCCCGAAAAAAAAAATTTATGTAACATTTCATTTCGTAAGAAAAATATGAAAGAATTTAAGAAGGAATTTTTAAAAGAATAACATAAAAAGTGTTGTGTCTAACAAGAAAGAAGAACTAATTTCTCAAAAAAATCACAAATTAACAACATGAGACGAAATGATGGTGGAAAAACCTTTTTATTAGGTTATATTTTCAATTTTTGCGTGAAAACTCGAGTGAAGTTTCCTTTTGCTGCATGAACTTTATTCGAGTTTACACGTAACGGCATAAAATTTGCGAGAACGGAATGTGAAGCAAGTACCTGCCCATTTCCTGCAACCCCCTATTTTGAGGCTTTAGCTCTTCAGATACCTTTCTCATTCAAAAATTACTACTTTTTTTAATCGAAGTTCGTAAAATGCCAATATGCGATCCATATAACAGGGATGGATGTAGACTCTGGAGAGTACTTTTTTCGCTTTTACTACTCTCTGCATTGTCCTGAGATGGCCCTAAAATGCGACCTTTGAAATGGCTTCTATTGAACCAAAAAAACCTTAAAAGTGGCTTTCTTTGATAAGAAATACAATAATTATCTCGTTTCAATTTTTCTGTGATGAATAATACATTAAAAAAACCATTTATTTAAATATATCCAACAGTACTTTTCAAAGTATTTTTCCGACTTTTATTAGACTTCAAGCGATCTTTGAAACGAAACGAAGTGAAGATTTTCCGCTTCTTCGAATTTCCTATGATGAAAGAGAAAGGTACGACATAACCTGAATAATATTTTAAAAAAATACCGCAAAATCAAAGGAAACTTGACAAGATGAAGCTTATAAGAAAAAGAAAAGATAACATTTTGCTGGAATTGTCGTTAGAAAGAGATAAGTTCATGAGAAAGTCATCGAACAATAAAAGCTGAAATTTTGGGGTTTACTTCGCTTTCGAGGGTTGAAACTAACAAAAGAGTAGATAGAAATCGGCAGAGCCTGCAGTACAATGGTCCTGTGGCTTTCTTTCTTCGAGGCTGACGTAATTATAGCCGACTTTTGCCGGTTTACGCCCCAGAGTATCAGAAGATAGCCGAAGAGGGTGAAAATAATCAGGACAATTCTTATTACTACAGAGAGCTGGAAAGAATTTTGATGTCAAAAGGAATTTCGAAACGAAAGCTCACAATATACCAAACATTATCGTTATCCGGCTTGCCTCCGAGTCTTACCGTCGTTCCAACAACGTGATAAACTATAGTGAAGGATGGGAAAATCCCTATAATCGTGGAAAATGCCAACGGCCTAGATTTAAGAAATTCCGTGCGCGATCAAGTTTCAGTAAGCTTACCATTTAAAGTTCCTACGGAACCATGGAGCGACTTCGAAAAAGCTAAAAAGTCGGTGAAGACATAAAATCGCGTCGATAAATATCAGAATATGAGGACAACAAAGGAAAAAGTAGCAGCAATAAATAATAATTTCCGAAATCAGAGGAATTTTGAAAAAATAATAGAATATTGCCATGAAAACTGGGCCTGTCGATCCGATTAGGGTTACAAATTCCATCAGAGGAACCGCAGAATAATAGTCTAGCTGGAATATTTTTCAATTTTCATTAAATCATACTGATTTTTCCATTTTTTGATGTCTCACCTTTCTTTCGTCTTCATAGCACTTCATCAAAATATAAATAAAGATTGCATGAAGTGTTGGGAAGAGAAAAAAATATGTAATAGACAGAAATAAGCCAGCGTTATTGCTAGTATTACTTCCATTAAAAAAAAAAAAAGAAAAACGGAAAAAAAAAGTTTTGAATAGCTGTTTCTTGTACCTAATTCGCAACGACACTGAAAAAAAGTGGTATTATATAAGAATTTCCGCACTAGCATATGATTAAAATTCAGAATTATATGCTTCTTGAAGCAAATATGTATGTACCTCATAACTATCACAAAAGCTCGCCGGGATTCTTGAGAAAATTCGAATAAATATCAGAAAAAAAAGCTCATTTTTGGCCAATACAAAAAATAAACCACGCCCAGTTTTCTGCAAATGTGGCGCGGTGCTTCTCTCTAATACGAAGCGTGCTCGCGTTTTGGGTACGACAAAATCTCAAGTCCGCAAATCTCGAGGACCGTAATCTTGTGTACGCAGATCTAAAGTCCCATAATCTTGGAGACCAAAATCTTGGAAACCACAATCTTGGAAAGCAAAAATCTTCCTTTTTAGTCTTCTTTATTGCACTTTATCTACTTATATTCTCTTATTTGGATCACCGAATAAAAAAACTTCATGTACCACGGTGTTTCTTTTGCGACGCCCCGCCCACTTTTCTCCGTCAATTAGGACGTGTTTAGTGCATGCACAAAAAATTTGGAAAATAAGGTTAACCGATGATATAAGTGTGAGAAAAGAATGAACATTGAAGAAAAAAAGACGAGGAAATTAAAAGAGATTAAATAAAACTATATTGCTGTGGAGAAACAAATAAAAAGATGTTTTTACAGCAAGTACTTTTTTTATTATAAAAAGTTGACGGAATATCCGGATATAAATGAATTCGGAACATACTTTCTCAACTTCACAGACTTTTTTTTCATGTAACTTCATCTCATTGATGTCCACAACCTAGAAATCTGAACAATCGACAAAAAAATAGAATAAGAAAAACATAAAAATGGGGTGAAACATGTTCCATACAAACAGGTGGAGATTTTCAAAACGCTTCTTCATCACGAATTTTAAAGTTAGCCTCACAGAACTACTTTCAAAAAACGTCTAACAACCCAGAGTATACCCCGATCGTGGTCCCGCAATACTATCAGCAATCTACGCAAAGAAAAAGTGAAAAAATATGAAAAAATAGACAAAAAATCAAAAATAAAGCCACTTTTTCAAATTTCGCGGGCGAATTTCGAGAAGTGCGCAGACTTTGCCGAGTTTCAAATTACACCCAGTTTTACGGACGAGGTCGCAGCGAGAGAAACGCTATATCGCGGGGGAGCCGCGAGCTATATCGCTCGCCTCTCGGCGCAAGGTCGCTCACATCTCGCTGCTATGTCGCTCTTTCAAAAAAATTTTTTAGCTCGATTGGGCTTTTTCTTGATTTGCTTTCTATGCTTCATACTTTTTATTGGGTTGTACATGATAACATATCGGTCTTTATCAACCTTCTTTACTTTTTTTTATTTAATATAAACAATATATTTAAATGAAAAACTTGAGAGCATTAAAGAAATTTCCAAATAATTGATGGTACATTTTCGAATTCGAAGTAAACTGAAAGTATGTACAAATCTGAAGAAGAAAAAAATTGAATTGAGGCGAAAGAGTGAAGCTTCAAGTAAGAATAAAAAAAGGACAATATGAGGAAAAAAACATGTGTATCGTTTATTTTTTTCATAGGAAAAATGTGACTAGGAAAAAGAGTAGTTTCAATAAAAAAACAGAAAAAGTAAACCGATTGTAAGCTCGTAGATGATCTTTAAAAAGTTCAAATTAGATAAAGGAGGGAGGCTCGAAATGAAAATGAAAGAAGTTTTGAAAAAAAGAAAATTAAGCTAAACAATCAGATTGACCCTAAGTTCCCTTAAAAAAATGTTACTGTAAGCTTTGACTTGATAGTTTTCGGCATATCCTTCATTTGCTGCGTCAAGAACTTTTCTAAATGATAAAACCGGTAAAAAAGAGAAATACTGAAAAAAGTCCAACCTTGAATAAGAGAATAACTCACAGGAGCGACTGTATCAAGACAGCAGTTCGTGCTTTCTCGAAATCATGCCTCATTTCTTCTTTTCCTTACCCATCGACGCCAAAGTGCAAATCATATCTTCAAGCAAAAAAATGGATATACTGTTTCAAAAAAATAGTTTACCAAGAATCTTATTGATTGTATCCAAAAAGCAAAGTTTCGGTGCCATCTCCCACGGATCTTTCTTGACTTTTTATTGATCGAAAAATGTTAGATGTTTTTGAAGTACTAATAACCTGAAATTATTGGTTAAAAACATGAAAATGCGAAAAAAAGGACTTTCAAATTCAAGAAAGGTGTGCAGTGCCGTCAAAAATATACAAAAAAACGCTTTTTTTAAATCACAACTTTCTTTAATGGGATTTCACCCTTTTGAAACTCTCTGGAAATATGATGACTGTTGATTGTAACACCGTGGTGAAAAACTTAGAAACACAGCTGAAAAAAAGTTTCAGAAAGATTGAGCTCTATACGAGGAAGTTGTGAGCGAAAAAAATATTTTTTTCCTCTTCTGACGGTACTGTATGAGCGTTACATTAGTTGTAAAATTAACATTTTAGAAATATTAAGTGAAAAAAATAGACATAAAAAAATCAGAGAGAATATAACACACGAAAAAAATTAAACAATTCAAGTAAAAATTTTGATGGCACGTAAATAGTGACCAATCGATAATCCGCGACCTCGCGCCGATATCGCGCCGGGAGTTTGCTAGAGCTGAGCGAGATGGCAGCGAGATATGTCGCTGCTATGTCGCGCCACTCTCGCTGCGATATAGTCCACGAAACTGGGTGTGCATTTTCTTCAACTGGCAGAAACGCCGTGGTACAGCAAGTTAGGCTGTACATGAAGTTTTTTTTTTCCGGTTTTTTGGTTATACAAATCAAACGAAAATTATCTCGTAACCTCGAGAAATAGGTTATAAAGTGATGAATTATATATTCCTTGTACTTTTTCTTGCAT